GTCATGGTCAACGCCAACTTCCGTGAACCGATAGATCGGGACGTGAACGGCATTTTTCACAAAACGATCGACGATCGGGCAACACGTTGGCACTGTTTCTTCGTCTCGCCTCGTTTACGCGAATAATGTATTAACGATTGGTGGTGTTTGTGGAGAGAAACGTGTGCGGTAAGAAATCATCTGTTCCCTTGTTTTTCGCAAAATCACCCGTATTTTCATCTTTAAAGCGCGTACAAGATACTCGCATTACGCATTTCACGGCAGAAATGGATTCGCTTCGAGATCAGAACGCATCGTAAGGATAAGTGATACGCCGTTTGTCGAGTACATATATACATATATATATATATATGTAAGTCTTATATGAATAGTACATATACGAGATCGCATTGATTCCATCGAGATAGGACACACACGGTGGTAAATGAAACCGCGAGTCCAGGACTGGACGAGTTCAACTGCCAATTAGATCGGACAATAACCTTTTATCAACGATGCCGAGGGTTTCAACTAAATTGCAACACTCGTGCGACGATAGATAGAGCAATTGTCTAACGTTGATCGATAAAATAATTTTAAAATTATTCGAGAAAAACTGGAACGATAGTGAAAGAGAAACGCGTTGATGCATTTAACGCGCATTCATCAGTTAATTACGTGAAAAAATTATTAAGTTACTTTCCTGCATGTAACCGAGCAAACCACTAATTAGGCATATAACAGCACACAAGAGAGTGATACGTATATGTTTGTTATGTGTGTGTGTGTGTGTGTACCAATATACTTGCTTTTCACGTACCGTTCTTTTACTCGCGGTTTAAGAGTAAAGGGTTAAGGCTACTTGTAAACTAGAGAAAACTATTAATAAAATATTCATGATAAAGAGAAGTAAAGTGAATGTAAATTTAAAAAAAAAAACAAAAAAGAACGTATTCATTAAGAAATAATATTTACTGCAGATATATCCAAATTTTATTTTATTTTATTTTTTTTTTTTTTTTGATTTATTTAATACTATTCAAATTTATATTAAAATTTATATTTTTCCTACTGTATCACTCTCTTTATCGTTGCACAAATAATATTGCCTTAATTTTTTCATAATGTATCTCGTGCATTTTATATATTGCTCATACGAGATGCACCGATTTAATGGAATTCCTGAGAATAGACATAATATGTTCAAGAAAGATTAAAAAAATTTAAAAACTATATAAGAAACCTACAATTGATTAGTTAAACTTATATAAACATTGTATAAATAGCATTTTATTAAAGTTTATTTAACTACCTATTTTATAAAGTTATAACCTATAACTACGGAATAATATTAGAAGTAGATAATGCAAGGCCACTGTATAGTCGACAACGAACAATCTAAAATTACGAAGTAATATGGAAGGAAAGTCAAGACTTACCACATTGCCCGATTCCAGCGAGGAACGGACGCTCCGCCTGTAATTTAAAAAAATTCTTGTTAAATTACAATATAATATATTACGTATAATATTACAAACCACATTTAAATTGATCGCCATCTATCTATCGATGTATTATTATAAAACGATCACTATTCTCTAAATAAAAATTCTAAAACAATACTCGTACATATATTATATATCGTACACTGAAAATAAAACTGATCGTTTTACGAGAAACAATAGAACGAAGGCGATAAAATGAATTATAACTACTGCTTTTTTTTAGACCGTAGTTTGTCACTTGAGAAACTCTATCCATATATGTATATTCCGAACTTTATCATTTGAAAAATTACTAAATTAATATTCAATTAGAATTTTCATCATAATGATCAATTTTTTTAATTTTATAATTTATTCTTTACTTTTTATTGTAAATTCTTTGAGAAAATATACCTATAATTGAAATGTATATATATTTCCCATATTTTTTAACGTCATGCAAAATCTATTACAACTTTATACTACTTTAAATTGTACATTATACGATGAAAAATCGTTTTTACGTACCTTGGAATATATAACAAATCATATTATCGCAAATTTCGTAAGACACTTTGATAATTATATTTAATAATTTAAGAAAACTGTTCGTTTCCACTTTTTAAATTTAACTAAGAGCACGTCATAACCACTAAAAACTTCTGACATATAGTTAAGGTTTCACAAGTTGTTTCTAGAATCTACGCAAGACGCGACATCTATGATCTACAATATATAAGATTGCATACAAAGCTTAAGCTCCTTAAGGCATATATTTTTTTAACTATCTTATTTCAATTAATTCCATGCTTAATGATTTTAAATGAATCGCAAATTCAACAAATAAAATAATTTTGAAAAATTAATCTACGTGAATTAATATTATGCAATTTTAATTTATAAAGATTGGAAATTTAAAGATATGTGATATTTTTAATATAAATATATATACATTAATTTATTATTTATTTATGATGTTTGAATTTCAATTAGAAACAAGTGTATACAAAAGATCTGCCTTATTGCTTTGAGAATGCATAAAGTTGCTTGCTATTAACGTAAAGAGGAGCAACTCAAAAGCTGGTAGCACGACGACATATTTATCCAGACAGCAGACAAACATTCTCACTTAAGTATTTGACACCTGCTCACTCACTTTCATATACTTCTAAAGGACTACAAGGACTCCAAATGAAATTACATATAAAGCACAATAAATGCTAAATTCTCAATGCGAATATATCCTTCTTTTTATATGAATTTTTTCTTCAAACTATCTTGTTTCCATTTAACATATTGATGGAAATGGAAATGAAAATTTAAATGCATAATACTTTATAAACTGTAAAAAAAAATAACTATGCATTATTAAAAAAAAAAAAAAAATAGAATAAGTAATTTAAACTAAATCAATTTAAACAAGATAATATTATTATAAAATTTTAGAATATTATTAAGCGATATTTTAAAGCAATAATATCGATATGAAACAGATGATTTATTATTTGAAAAGTCAATTGTATAAGCACGACTCATCATTTTAATTTAATAATTAGAATTCCATTGTCGCAATGATGCATTACGATATTTGAGAGCAAGCTAACAGTGGCAGACTCACGTGAGTAGAACGAATTACGTTCATACGAATTGCGTGAACGCGACTACGCATAAATAACGTCGCTGTGTGTACGCAAAGTGTACGACGACTGTGACGACAGTGGACACAGTTGATCGCGTGAATAAACACACATAACATATACATACAGCAAGTACACTTACACATATGTATACACGTACTCTCACCTCGATACAAATCGGCAAGCAGGCAGCAGGCCGTCACAACACGACGGTCGTCGCATCCCCTCCCGCCACACTTCGATCGTCCTCTTCTCGTTCATTCATTCTTCCTCCACGCGACGCCGTTGTTTCTCTCGAGTGATGTTTGTGTCAGAAACATAAAAAGACGACACATCATAGTTACTCACTATTCGACACTATACACTGATATATTAACCAAATAAAGTATGATTTTCGACCAATCAAGCGCAACAAATCGAATCGTATCAACCAAATACGATAACATCAAAAGGTAACACGAAAACTCCATCAGACTGACGCCATTCCTTCATCCAGACTGTTTACATCGTGTCGAGGATTGCGATATGGCGAAAGTAAATTGCATAAATGTCCCCCACACTCACGAGACTTGGTGTTATATTCGATTACTCTGAAACCGTTCTTGTTTACACCGGCGATTAAAAAGCAAAACAAAAATTGTCTTTCACGTACTCCGTAAGATTGCGCTACTCTTCAAGTCTAATGTCTCTAGGCGGCGTGACGTGAATACGGCCTATTATACGTAAAGCCATTAATAGGAAAGCAGCAATGATGAGAAACAACCAACAGCACCCGTACGTGAAATGTCTAACATCATGAAGGAAACTATCGTAAACTGCTCGCAGAATACGTGACACGTTTTCAAGGACGTCCACGAATGTAACACCGGCAACTTCGCCGCTATTACAACAGTCGAACGACATTTAACCAAGCCCCGTTAATATCTCGAACACTCTAATTGCCTAAAATATAACAAACTGAAATCAATTAATAAATAGAAAACACTTACAAGAATGTCACACCATAGAACGATGTGCCGCGACAACACGACTAAACGGGCTAAGCGAGTTTTCGCTTTCGACTGAAATCGAATGTCCTGCCGGCTAGCCGCTGACAAGAACCTATATGAATTGCGTACGTGTGCGCACGCGTGCATCGTTGTGTGTGTTGCAGTATATCGTACCGCGCGTTTCTACCAGCATCAAGTATCGAGTATCCGGACAAGTAAATGTAGTCTTATCGAGCTCGCATTACAAAACGCCAGTGTCGACAAGATGAGTCGAGCGATTAAATTACATATGACACGCGCGTATTGCACTCTATAATGACAGGTACATCTTTTTACCCAACCTTGATGGAAATCACTTCGTGTCGTCATTAGTTGATCATAGATATTTTTGATCAACAATCTTCATCCTTCCTGAATCCAATAAAAGTTCACAATTTCGTCTGAATATGGTTTTACATGAATATCCATTTTAAAATCATTGTATATCCTTAAAAAAAATCTCTGAATCATTATCTTCATTCATATTTTATTGAGAATTGTTTAACATCATTTTATTGCAATTAAGAATTTTAATTAAAATTATCATTCAAGATATATGGGAATAATGGAATGCTACTCCATCACTGACTGTGAAAGTTGTATTAATTACAGCCTCTTAATATGTCGACATTTTTTCGCTCCGACTTTTATATCTTTTTGGGCGAGGAACGAGAAACCATCGTTCTACAGGAAAATAATTATACGTTCCTTATTATGGATTAAACTTCTATAATCTCGCATTCAATTATATAAAAAATATAAGTTAAAAATGAATATAAATGAAATTATTTATTGAATTATTTCTATTATTTACATATACTTATTTTATAATGATAAAATCTAAAGAAAAATTTGTTTAAATAAATAAAAAATTTACATTACAAAATGAATTGTTTCTGCATTTTCATTAAATTTAAAAAATTATTATGTTGTTATTTTTTTTCTTCATTCAAATTATATTTTGTTTTTAACTTATCTATTTCTTCCATTTTCTTATCTACATCAACTCGTTTAAATGCTTTATTACTTTGATAATATAAAACTACTAAATATCTATTACAAACATTAAATCCACTTAAATGATCGCAAGCATTTTTTGCATCAAATATATCTTCGTAAACAACAAATGCTGTTCCCCTAGTTTCAGCAGTATTGCCCCTGCAAATAAATAATTTATTAATATCAAGAAATTGTATGATATTAATTTTATAGTATCAAATATTAGGAAATTTAGTATAGTATTAAGAAAGTAACTTAAAATAAAAAATACATAAAAAAATAAAATTCAATTCACTCGAATACTTACACTCTAATTTGTCTAATAGCTCCATATTTACCAAAAATATCATACATTTCTTCAGCAGTAATTTTGTATGGCAAATTTCTTATATATAATACTCTGTTTACTTCTGGAGGTAATCTCACCTAAAGAATATATATTTTTATAAAATAACAGAAAAAATTTAGGTTAGGTTATTAATATTATTATATTGAATATTTTACGTATAAATATGTGTACTTACATTAGCTCTTCGTTGAAGCATAGCCATAGTCATCTTGAAAGCAAATATTTTTTTATTTATTACGAGAAATAAGAACAAAGAATACGCAAAACACGTCAAAATAAATTCAAGTAGTTTAGATCGTATTGCATACAATATATACTACCAGAGAGCAGCACTGTACTTTTCCGTTCTCCTTCAGGTTTTTTTATTCTTAAAAAAAAAAAAAAAGAAAAATTAGAAATAAATAATAAAATTATGTTGATTATTTTTATTTTTTATTTATTAACAATACTCCAAAACAAACAATTAAAAATGGTACTAATAATAGGTATTATATACCTATATTTATTAATGAATAGCATTATGATAGCAAATGAAATATCTATATAATGTTACATTAAATTTTATACATTGAATTACGTTTAAAACATTTATGGTTTATATTTTTTCTTTATAAAGAATATATTGATCACACAATTTAAAAATTTGCTTGAATATTTTAAAAACGATTGATAAATTGACATCGAATATTAAAATTGGAGTACAATAGCTATGTTTTTTATTTTTAGACAGTCCTTTTTAGTGATAAAACATGTATTTATCAAAGTAGATATTGCTAATGGAATGAAATGATGGCACAACAGACCAATGCCTGGTTACAATTAGAACCGTCAGATATTTTTCTACGAAGAAAGCTTCGTTAATATTTTATACTTTATTAAAGGCTGCAATATCTACGCTTTGTACATAATCTTCGATATCCTGAATTTGTTCTGTAAGCCAATCTACAGAAACTTTGTCATCTTCAACAACACACGAAATTTGAAGTTTGTGAATTCCAAAGGCAAGCGGAACAAGTTTTGCTGTGAAAGAATAATAATATAATAGAATAAATATTATTTTAAATTTAAATTAAAAAAGATATTATTTATTATATATTTATATTCTAGATAACTTACACGCTCCCCATAAAAGTCCATCAGTTTCAATTTTTCGAACTTCTTCTTCCATTGCTTTCATATCCGTTTCATCGTCCCACGGTTTTACGTCCAATATTATATTTGATTTAGCAATTAAGGCTGGCTCTATAAATTATGATTATATATAAAACAATTTGTATTTAAAATATAAATGCAATACACAACTTACTTTTAGCTTTCTTTGCAGCATATGCAGCCAGTCTTTCTTCTCTAAGTTTTGCAGCTTCTGCATCTTCTCCCTAATAAGTCAAGTATTTAAACAATTTACAGTATAGATTATAAATTACAACATTTACATTTCAATATTTGTATTATAGTATTTGTGTTGATTTTGTGTAATAAATAGAAAATTATATTTAAATGTATTAGTATTCTGGGAATATCTGGTGTACTATATTTCGTAAATGTCGTATCATTTTATCACTTTTGCACTTGAAGACACGTGTAAAGTGTACTAAATGTATAAGTATCGTGCAGAAATGATTTTCGATATTTATGAAAATAGAAGAGGATTAACTGCTTAGTGTCTTCCATTATTTCTGCTCACTTGCCTCTGAATCTGAACCAAAAAGATCAACATCTTCATCATCATCAGCTTTTTCTTGTGTTGGTTTTGAAGCTGGTTGAGGTTTAGCAGGACAAACTGCTATTGGATCAGCAGGTACAAAAGTACGAATCTTGATTTCAAGAGCTTTGACACGTTCCTCCAATTTTTCAACAGTATTTTTCAATTCTTGGAAGACTGTTAATGAAGATTTAAAATATGGAAATCTATATTATTATTAAAATAATTTAGCATAATAATTTATAATACTGACCACTAGAATCTAGAATATCCTTTTTATTTTCATTGGGAGTAGCAAAACCAGCAACAGCTGCAATGTCATCCATCTGAAAAATAAAATTTAAATGCATTTAAAATAAGTTAAAATAAAAAAATTATCAATTATTATTAAATAATTAGATTTTATACCCATTAATTTATATTAATATTGGATATATTAGTAAGCAGTTTTGAAAATTTTGTTATATAAAGGTGTGCAAAGAGTGCAGTACTCACACACTGTAAAGACTGTTTAATATGTTGACGAGCCTTGGCAACCTCATTGGCTAAACTTCCACCAGCAGATAGAATTGGACTAGTAGTTTGTTGATTTCCCTGTATCCAATATTAAAAATCAACTCAGACCAAACTGACTATTATAAACAATTCAATATCATATCTCCACTAGAATTTATAAATAATTATTCAACAATAAAATATACAATTATAAATTTTTATTTTTAATTCTTTATGAATTTATTTTTGCAATTATATATAATTTAGGATACAAACAAAACAAATATTGAAAATATGACATCATTTATATTAAAAAAATATTTTATAAATATTTAAATGTAAATTTATATTTTTCAAGAAAAATTAAGTGGAGATAGATATTTTGAATGTTTAAAAAGTGAATAAATTTTAAGCATAATGAATATGTTAATTACAAAATAAAAGATTAAATAAAAAATATTTATCAACAGTATATTGTTAATAAATTTATGATCACAATAAAATTTATTTTAAATCAGAAGCAAACATGCTTTACAGCACAATCCCCTTTGTCACATAACAAAAAACAAGCAAAATATTGAATTAAAACTAATTAAAAAGAATTAAAATAAGATAAATATATACAATATTTTTGTGGTGTTCACTCAACAATTACTAAATTTAAGAAATTTAAGACAGGTAATAACAATATAAATTTAAAATTTATGAAATAAAAAGTTTATAAAAAAGAATAAAATGATTTCATCTTTTTTTTTTTTTTTTTAAATTTATTGTAATAAGCAGATTCTCAGTGATGATTTAGGCAATATGAAATGTATTATAATGAATGAAATTAAACTCTATAAGTATTGCATTGCTGCACACAAAACATTAAAATAATAAATGCATTACAGTATATACCTGAATAGGTAACTGCTGCTTATTCCTTATTAATGGAGTAACATTTTCTTTTACTTCCTTAGTATCATTTTTATGTTTTCTATTTCTATGTCTTGTATCTGCTTTATTCTTTTTTTCTTTTACTTCCTTTGTATTATATTTTTTAGATGCATCATTAGAAGGACTAGTTTCTTTCTCTTTTTCTTTTAAATCATTTTTAACATTATCAGATTTTTGCTTTTCTTCTATATTTTCTTTTTCTTGTATATTTAATTCATCTTCATCTTTATTTATCTTTGATGTTTTTATTTGACACTTAGAATTTTTTACATCATTTGAAATATTCTCAGATATCAATAACTTATTGTCTTTAGATTTTTCAGATTTAGTTTTAATCAAAGAGTTATTATTCAGAAATGAATTATCATGACAACTATTGGTTAGAGAAACTTCAGATTTAAGCGAGCAGCTTTCCATGATCTTATGAGACACCACCTTGAAACATCAAGCTATGCAAGTAAGAACTTATGTCTTGTAATTAATTGAGTAAAACAGAAATTAAACAAAGCATGTCTTTTACATGCTTCATTTACATTGTCGCTACAAGACACAACTGCACAAAAACTAAATATCTTGAATAAAGAATCCATGCATTCTCAAATTTATTGAATGTATGAAAATATAGAACAATACATTGTAAAATTACAAATATAAACAAATAAACAAAAATTATATTGCTTATTTTATTTTTTCATTTTAAATATTATCGATTATATTTATTAGAAAAGTTTTATTAAAAATAAAATACAAAATTAGATAATTCATTTGAACACACAATAGAGAAAGAAATGGGAATTAAGATCTTAAAAAAAAAAAAAAAAAAATAATAAAATTCCCAACACCTCATGGAATTACAAGCAGATCAAATCTTCCCTATCACCAGATATTCCCTGAAGTGTGTGTTAAAAATGTTAGTTTTTTTGTTAGTACAAAGAAAAAACACAAGGCACAACAAAAAGACAATTATTAGCTGTGGATGTTGGGGCTGATAATAATAGATTCTTAAAAAAATTTATGTTTATAAACATACTTTTAAACATTATAATTATTTATAAAAAATTATTTTAATATTATAATATTAAAAACAAATGAAACTTAAGATTCATTTTATTTGCTAATTCGTATGTTTAGAAACATTTATCTTACTCCTGTTGGCAGTTTTATATCCAATAACACATTAATTCACAATTCATTAAGAAAGATACTTACCTTGGCCATTCTTTCAAAATATAGTCGTTCTGCCTTGTCATAGGATGGTTTGTCAAACCATACCTTCTCTTGTGCTAATGCTGATTTCTCCATTATTTAGGGCTTAGATGATATATTCAACAACAAAGATGTAAGTAAATATCTGCAACATGAAATTTTTTAATTTCAGAATGTTTTAAAATAATCTCATATATAAAATTAATCATTAATAAAATTAATACAAATAATATATTAAAATTTATGATTTTTATATAATATTATTCTTATTTATTAAATATTATTCTTTATTTATTTAATTTTAAACTTATTTATAATTTAGAATCATTAGAACATATGGAAAATAAAAATATTAAAAAAATTAATTAATTACATTTATTAAAAATACAATCTTTTTGTCACATATATACAGTATATAATAAAAAGATATATAATAATATACATTATAATAAAAATTATTATATAACAAGGTATATTAACAACATCAACAACTTAATATATATAGCTAAAAGTATAAATTAATATCATAAACTATCATCATCACTAAAATATTCAGATTTAAATTTAGCTTTATTTAATATCTTATGTCTAGGAAGATCTAATTTATATTTCTGACTATTCAATGATTGTTGATCTAATTTTCTTTTTATAATATCTAACAAATAATAAATTTGTTCTTCTTCGTCTGTTTTAATCACACATGGATATATTTCTAATGCTTCAAAATATTGAACAAATGCTTTAAGTTCATTAAAAGAGGAATGAGTAGAATAACATACATTAAAAGTTCTCTCTTTAACTTTATCCCATTCCCCTATTATAGTTGTATCTTTTTTCCTCCATTTCATTACAGATGGGATAACAGTCATGATATTCATATTGCTTACATCACTTCTACAATGCAAACCTGACACAGATATTTTTTTCTTGCAAGCATGAATTGAAGTACTATATGGGTCATTTGTGATATAAGAAGATAATTGTGCAATACGACAATAAGTTTCAAATACATCATTTCTTACATGAATTTTCATATTTAACTTCTTAGACAATTCTACAAAAAGAAATTCAGAACCATATATAGCAGAACATTCCAGAATAACAACATTCCTTGGGTCTTTGCTTATCCAATTTTTAATGACTTCATACATTTTAAATATACTTTCTTGTCTAGTAGGGAAACTAGAAAAGTCGGTACTTAAAAATGTTGTATCTAAATAAATTTTAGTAAATGATTTAGATATCAGTTTAGAATCATTATAATAATGTAAACTTTTCAATTTGGGAAAATCTATTGGATTAATACGAAAATCACCGGTATATAATATTGATATATTATTTTTTTCAAAAAGAAACATCACAGAACCAGGACAATGTCCTGCTGGAACACAAGTTACACAAATAAGAATTCTATCTTCATTTTTTATTGAATATTCTATAACAGTTGGAGAATTAATATCTATTTCTTTTACACAAGATGTTTTAAATTTAAATCTATTTTCTAACAATATTTTTGTAATAGGGCTACAATAGAGACATTTGTTATATTCATCTATATGCTCAAAGAACATATCTGATAAACCATACATATGATCAGAATGACAATGACTAAGAAAAAATATAGAAGATGTTAAGTTTGCTCCATCAAAACGATCCACTGAGATGCCAGGTATCTCCTTAATAAGCCCAAGAAAAGTTGACATTCTGATAGGTATTTTGTTCCTGTAATTTATAAATTTAATATCAACTATGCCAATACTTATTTTAAAAAAATTATATTATATTATACTATATTGTTATAATAGTTTTTTTCATATGTGAATATAACAAAAAGAAAATAAACAAATAATTAAATACTTTTGAAAATGTATCTTTAATTTCAAGTATAAGAACTTAAAGAAATGATGATAAAAATAATAATGATAAAAATAAAATTTGTACAACGAAAAATTATCATAAGAAGGAAACAGATGTTTGCAAAATTGAAGGATGAAGATTTTCATAGTAGGTTATAATTATATTGAATATATATTTTACGAATGAAAGAAACAGATTAGAAGAGATTATTTACAAACCAATAAATCAACAACTTTAACAACTGTATACGAACAATCAGTAAACTTTTCACTGAAACATTATTAACACGAATCCGCCATGTGCCGTATTGATCGATTAATTCAACGGTTATACATATACCGAAGTATAATTGATACGACGTATGCGAATACTACAAACCAGGTTGATCTGCATGTTGATTATATATTGCTTAAATATTATTAAATATACCTTGACTCGTTACAGATTGTCAAATTGATGCAACAACTGTCTACTCGCCAAAATTTCTGTAAGCCGGATATAATATGCCAATTGAAAAGAAATAGAAATAGTAATGTTCGATTAATGAAAGATGTCACTAGGATACCTTATTTCTACCGCTGAATTCAACACACGTTTATTTTTTTAAAATGTTTTAAACAGAATTTTTTAATTTTACTAATAAATTGTAAAATAAAAATTATTTAATTTTTTTATTCATTTTTATATTTATTATTAAAAGTAGAAATAAATAATACTATAAGAAAAGCTCTGATATGTAATTTTATAATTTTTTTACAATATAATTATTTTATATTAATATATATTCTTAGAATTTAATTAGATATATACAATATTAAAAATAAAATTTAAATATTTGCAATTTTATCTCAAATTTTTCCTTCTTGATGAATAATTATGTAAAGAATTCAAAAATTGGCGGCAATTGGTTAACGGTTACTATCTGTTAGTTTACATTTCATACATAAGGTAAATCAATTTTTAGTAAGAATGACTGCGCAAGGATCACCTGCTAAAATGAAAGAATTACGTTTACCTATATCAAGGGTGAAAACAATTATGAAAAGTTCTCCTTACGTCGATACAATCGGTCAAGATGGATTATATTTAGTCACAAAAGCTACGGTAAGACTGGTATTTAAATATTGAGGTTAAGTGACGCTTAAATATAATTTATATATTTGTAATTACTAAATTTATTTCATACATTAATTAAAAATTCTTGCTTTCTATGCATTTTATATTTAAAATATTTACTAACCAATTGTTCAATATGTGTTCTATTCATATATTTTTCTAAGTGATTATTACAATTATTTTGCAAGATAAATATGAACAAACAAAGATGAAAACAATTTTATAGGAACTATTTATACATTATCTAACGGAAGAGGCACATTTGCAAAGCAACAAAGGAAATTTTTTAGACTACAAACATCTAGCAGAAGTGGTACAAACAAATGATACATTGGAATTTCTCAGGGAAATAATGCCTAGAAAAATAACAGTGAGACAATTCAAAGAAATGATGGCTGCCAAGAATTCACATAGCAGTTCATCAGAAAATAGTTCAGACTCTGACAGTGATAGTGAATCAGACACAGATTCTTGTTCTGATAGTGATGATAGAAAAGCAGATGATAATTCATCAAATAGTGAACAAGAAAGTATAGAAAAAGAGAATGGAAAATGTGATTCCATTAGTGACAAAAGTGAAGCAAGTGAAAAAAGTGACAGTGAGGATGAAACCAAGAGATAAAAACAGAACAAATATTTTCATAAGACAGGCTCTCTGATTATTTAAGAAATATTTCAAATACAATTAAAAATAATATATCTTTGCAAATATTTGGTTTTTACCATTTGAAACTATTTAATATTTTAGATTGAATACAGACAATAATTTTAGATGTTTAACACTATTTTTATATATATTCATTAAAGACAAATTGAATACTTAGATAAATTGAATATCTTAAATAGGACATTTTTATTCATAATAAATCATATTTATAATTTATAGATACATTATTAAAAAAAATTATAAGCATAAAGTAAAAAATTTATTTATTTTTTCAAATGCATTGATTTAAGAAGCACCATATTATTTAATCTTTTTATTTATTTATTTAGTTGATTTATTATATAATATGAAATAAATGTATTAATTTTTTAATGTTTATTTTTTAAATTGCATCACTCTATTGTTTATATCATCTTATATTGGCACATAATAATTTTATTCTATGTTTTATTTCTTTAGAAGTTAACAAAAAGATATTAATTTTAAAAGAATATATTTTAATAACAATGCTTCGTAAAATTCTATTCTTGATGCAATTTTTTAGATACTGATCCTGTTGAAATAGTATCATATACATCCTCATTTAATTTAATTGCCAAGAAATAAATTTCAGCCAAAGCTATGATCAGAGCACAAATTATACCTAATAACAACCTAAATCCAAAATCTAAATTTCCTACTATTAATTCCACACCTATAAATCCAAAAGCAAAACCTGCTAGCACAGAAAATACAAATTGTGCAACAGCTATAAGTTGCTTATTTATCTGCTTCACTGAAAAAAAAAAAAATATACATATAAATAAATATAAATGAAAATTATGTTAAAGGAAATTTATTTTTTAAAATAAAAATCTTACTTTGATATGAAATACTGTCTTCTGGTAATTTCATTGTAGCTGTATCTACATTTTTTGTCATAGCTTTATATTTGATAGCATCCTGTTGTGCTTTCAATTTTTGTGTTCTTGCTTCTAACTCAGGGTTTCTTGGTATAATTTTTGGAGTTGGTAATTTGATATCATCTTCTTCTAAAAGCTCATGTAAATAAATACTTTCCATATTGGTGGTTCTATATTCTTCTAAATACTTATTTAACCATTTTAATTCATCCAGTTTTAATAAAATATCTTTCTGCTTATCTTTAGTTGATTTTTTTAAAGCAATAATAGCAGGTGGGATATTATTTGTTTTCTTTATATTTTTGCAAATAAATTCTATTAATTTCTTATTTGGTTTGATTTTTATAGAAGGATCTTCTATTGATTCAACTGGCATTTTTGTATTTTATAGATAATAAGATGTTATATTAATAATAAAATAAAAACGTTTTTATTAAATATTTATATATTAAATACAAGCCTGGTATTATTTTATGTTATAAATTATTAGAATATATGCATAAAATATATTATATTGCTATACTTTATATAAGAATGAAATAGTTATTGTACATTTATGATGTGATGTGCAATTTTCTTTCTAAATCAATGTAAAATTCTTTTATTTCATTTTCTTTCTCTTCAAAAGTTTGATTTACTTTTTCACACTTTTCACTCATATCATTAACAAATTTTTCCCATTCTATTTTCCTTGCTTCTCTATTTGCTTGTAATGCTATATCCTAAAAAAATTATTTGATGTCCAAATTAATGACAAATGTGAGATATTTCTAAAAATTTAATCGAAATCTTGAAATGAAAATAATCCATACACTATCAAAATCTTGTTCTTTTTGAAGAACTCTTTCACACATACTTAGGGCAACATCAACATTTGCTTTTAAGCTAGGTAAATGACAATCCCCAAGTTGTTCTGTTCGATCGAGTTGACTTTCTTTTAAATCTGTTGAATATTCAAGTATTTTGAAGAGTCGTTCCACTTCTCGATCGTCTCTTTTTTCCTATAAATTTTTTTTGGTTGTCGAATTATAGGTTATGCAAGATGATACATGAAATATTGTTAATGTACATTCATACAATGATCAATTAATCTTCTAATGAAAATAGTAGCTCGTAGATTTTTTTATATAATCACTATTTTTTTTTTTTTTTTTTTTTTTAAATGCAGGTATTTAATAGCAAGAACTCAAAAGTTCTTTACCTGAAATTCGCGTAGGAAAAATGTTATTTCACCTTGAATGAATGGTCGATGATCGAATAATCGGCTCCAAATTTCACCCGTATCTAAAAATATTACATTATATACAAATTAAATTATAATCAATAATTAAAATAACAAGGCATATACATTACATATTTACAATCAATTAAAAAATGTCGTACCTTTAATAATCGACGCCATGTTCTTCTTATGATATTAACATAGACAATATATAAAATAGATTCATCATCTTATAATAAAATTTTATTTATTCTTTTTTTTAAATATAATCGTGTATGATTTATCGTTATCGATATTGTTTTTAAAGTGATATTTTATATAATAAATTAAGTAATATTTCATTAAAAATCAGAAACGAAGTAAAAAATATTTCTGGATAAAATATATAATTTTTAAAAAAAGAATAATAATAATAAGTACCTAATAATAACTTAATAAGTACATAATAATGAAAATACAAAAATTATTAAAATATAAAATATTAAACTTTAACCTCCATGTTTTTATTAATTTTTGTATTAGATTATGTTATTGTATGCGACATTATCGATTTAAAGTGAAATAATAATACTATTGAGATAAAAAAAAATTATAATTGTAATCGATGTAGAATTTTTTTATCATATTTAATATGAAATATTATCGTGATTATTTTTAATAGATTATCAATCAATTTAAATTGTGATCTATCTATAATTATTTTTTTTATTTATTAAATATTAATTAAATTATCTACATATTTATTATATTTTATTTTATCATTTTGTCTTAAAATTTTTATTTTTATATTAAATTAATTATAATAAGATATTATAATATTAATATTTTAATAATTTTTTCTTTTTTTTTGATCTTATAAGAATTCTAAATTAAAGTATATTGTACAATATTTAGATTTTCTGTTGATTTTTGAATGCAGAACTAGTTTACGACAATAGCCAATCAAAAAATTGTTTGGTGAATTTGTACCGTATAATGGTGCATAGCATCATTTGTCTGTCAAAAATCATCATGACAAAATATATAATGTTGTAATGTGATATGTTGAATTGTTAATTATTAGAAAAAATGAAGTGATTTTACTTACTATAGTTTTTTATATCTTGATATCGAAGATAATTGTTTAATGTGTTTTATATATTTTTATGGTATACATTTTTGTTTTCATCTTTCAAAATTTTCAGAAAATATGGATTATTCGTTGTTTTTTTGAAGATTCAAGTAATAATAATTCATTCAATTTATGCAAATTTATTACGATATATATAATTATGCAATTTTATTACGATATATACATACAACATACTTTTTTTTCTATCAATTTTTTTTTCAACTGCTAATTCAGTAAATAATGATTATGAATGTGATTTATATATTTTTATGGTATACATTTTTGCTTTCATTTTTCAAAATTTTTAGAAAATATAGATTATTCATTGTTCTTTTTGAAAATTCAAATAATAACAATTCAATTTTATTCAATTTATACAATTTTATACGGTATATTTTATTACGGTATATAACATACTTTTTTTTTATCAATTTTTTTTCAATTGCTAATTTAATAAATAAATTTGTTTCAGGTATTCATTAATTCATAGAAACCATCAGAAATAAGAAGCAAGAAAATATGATGTTTGATAATAATTGTTTATTAATTGGTAAGTAATTATATATTATAAAATTCTCGTTATAAAATTCAACACGTCTATACCGTACGATGGTTAAAGCGTAACTGGTGCCTCGCCCCACCAATCATATACAATTCGGCGCGTAAAGTCACACATATGTAAACATCGAACGAATATCTCAATATGAAATATTATTAAAATTTATAATTTTTAATATCACACAGTTATTGATTAATTTTATAATTTTATTAATTTAATATATCAATATATATAAACTTATAATTATATTTATTAATTTTATTGATAAATAGTTTTTATTTATTAAAATATCAATTTAAAAGTGTTATTTTGTATAATAGATTAATAAAATAATAAAATTGATAGAATATTTAAAATTTGCAGGCAACTACTTGCGCCATTATCGATATAATCGCTTGTCTGTCGAATTACTTCGTTATCAAATGAAGATATAGTCGTGCATTAATTTATTATAATATTATTTACGAGTAATAAGATACATGTTTTCTAATATTGGTAAGTGATTTTTTTTTTTTTTTTATAATATATATAGTGACTATAAATATTTTGATTTTCTTGTATATTAATATTTGTTATTTGTTATTTTATATTTATTTAATCTAGGATTTTTTTGTATTTTGCATTCTATAATTTAAATATTTTTTGTTTTTATCTATTATTTTTCAATTCTTATTATTTTTGTCATCATTTAATATCTCAAAATCTCTCATTTTTAAAAATGAAATATGAAATATAATATAAAAATACTTTTATTATTTTTTTTATCATTTTTTATTATATTATATAAAAATTTTTTCCAAATAAAACGATATCGTATTAGTGTCTACGAAATATATTATAAATAAGCTTGTTAATATTTTATTAAAAAAATTTTATTAAAAAATAAAATTAAATTTATTAAACCTATATATCAAATATTTTTAAATTTTATTTTTAAAATAAATAATTATATTTTTAAAATAAGTTAAAAATATCTGATATATATATGATATAAATTTTGATTTTAAATAAAATTGATTTCGTTAAAAATATTTTAACATCAATGATAAAAAAAATATATTAAACGCTGGCTTCTAACCTGCGGTGGTTAACGAGGTCAAAATCAGAGACGTGAGGAACGGAAAAAGCGATGGTCAAACGGATAAAGGACTAAATAAAAACGACAGAAGTAACGAGAAAGGCGAAGCGGACAGAGGCGGTTTTCGCCACTAGCACGAAATTTCGTTCATGCGATTCACGCGAAACAAGAGGATGCTACGTGCGCGCAATAAAATCAAAATCTCTCGACGATGCCCTACCGATTTTACGTTTTCCACCGTGTTATACGTACCGTTTTTCTTCGTTTTTCTTTTTAGAAAAAGCCTTCGTAGATAGTATAGTAATATTGATATATATATCTGCGTCGTTATGTTTATGCGTGTTATTCAGCAATGTAATTCGAGTACTGATCAGATTTGATTTGTACGATGTATAGAAAAATATTTTCCTTGGGAAAATTGAATATTTGTTACGGTTTGTTCTAAAAGATTCGCGATCGAAAATTTCAATAGATGAATTAAAAATATTGCAAAAGTTTTCATTGTATTCATTTGAAGCTGAAATCTATAACGCTATAATGATAGATACAAAAAAGAGAGAGTAAAAAAATAAAAGATTTTTCATTTAAAGTCTGTTAATGGACAATTCATCAGTAAAGCTATCCATATAACAAGTCTTAGACGACGAGATAGATAAGAAGCCTAGATCAAAGGATTTGTACGATGAGAACGATTAGCATGGAGAACAGATAGAACAAGAAATTGCGTTTAATTATATCCCTCTATAGCATATATAATTTAAAAAAAATTAATTGTAAATTTGTTTGCTTTACTTTTGAAATATCTTTAATTTTTACATATTTTCTTTTTATTATTGTACTTTATGATCGTTATGATCTCTTTTAATATCAGTTCACAAAGCAAGAATCTGTCTTCTAGAATTGTCTTCTATCTAAAAAAAAAAGATACATAATACAATAACATATCAATTCATTCTATTAACAGTTTCACTTGGCTTTTTCTAAAAGCTAGCCTTTCTTTCCTAAAACTATATCGATTAAACCTCAACTCCCTCAACCCGTCTTCGACAATTTCTAACTAAATTCATATTAAAATTCACCACCATCTCGAATCTCCCTCGCATGGAAAATGCGTCAATAAGATAAACAGTATCGTAATCGATTCCCAATATTGTCTCTTTAAATTTCTTCCTCGATACTTGGCACTCGATGTAATCACACCCTAAATTACACCTCGCCATTATCCTTCGATTGTCCTCGTTTATTTCACATCCTCGTCGAGGCAGTTAATTACACAGCAACGATAACAGAGAGGAACTGTATCGAAGGGGAAAAGAGAAGAGGATCAAGGTGTCTGGGTTATTTGTCTACTTAGAATCGACGAGAAAAAAGGGAGAGAGAGAGAGAGAGAGAGAGAAAGAGAGAGGGGGTCAGGGTGTATCTGGGCGTGATGGAATTGTTCACGATCAAGTGAGCATCACGCCTCCGCGAATTTTCCACGGATGGCCGATCCATGGCCTGGTGGACCTATGTCCCACCCGGGTGGACGTGTTCGTTGACCAGCCGTAAGCCTCGTGCACGTGTGATCGAAACCCTGTCTGTGTGTGTGCACGCGCGCGCGCACTTACTGGAGAACAGGAGGGCTGTAAACAGTTTACAACGGTGCGATTCCGCGCGACAACGACAATGGCAATGAACAGATCGGCTAACCTTATCGGGAATGTACCTAGCCGAAAGTGATGTCCGTCCCGTGGCTCTTTTAGCTCGTTGCCTCGGTATAATGGCCGTTGCACTGATTCCAACATCGTGGTCCCATCCTGATCGTGGGTATTACTAACGGATTCACAAGCTCGTTCCTGACCAAATTGTCGTTGGATTACTATTGTTCTATTCTATTTGAGGAACGATCGTGGGACCGAAGACGTTTCGAGGTCTATTCTTTCATCGTCCACAAATTCTTATTTCATCTTCTTCTCTGAACATTCTGAATTCTCGAAGCCGAATTCTAGCTATCGATTATATTGTTGCTTATATTGTTTTATATCAAATTTTTTCTAAAAAAAAAATATTTACCACACACATCCGTCGTTCGAACATTGTCCAAGAATCGGATAAACATTTTTCTGCTATACTTCTAATTACACTTAGTCTCTGTCTTTCTCTCGCTCGATTATCGTCTCAATCCATTTTTCACTCGACCGTTGCGTTTTATATTCGTTAAAAAGAGAAAGTAATAAAGATTTGTCGAGGAAGATAGGATAATATATTCGCATTATACGCATCGCGGCTTCGTGTGTAAATTCGCAGGGAAATACGGTAAACGACGCATCGGTAGATCCTATTGTTGTAATACCTACGTGCATTACGCGCATTACATTACGCATATGACCACGGGTACGTGATGTGGGTTATGGTGATTCTTGCCGCCGTTTCGCCGCGCTCATTACCAAATTACGAGTAATTCCATCCACTTTGTCGTTGCAGAAACATTATTCTCATTTTCCTACGTCAATTCTGCCCGAGATACCGATAAACACCGACCTATTATATGCTCGCGATCCTAAATTTTTCATTATAAATTCATAACCAATCTGCAAAAACCATTCTTCATCTCCCCTTTTCTTTTCTTTTTTTTCCCCCTTTCCCGATTATAAAGAGGTACCTGAAATGAATTATTTTAATATTTAAACAGCTCGTATACTATCCATTATAAAAGTTCTTCTCTCTAGCGATAAATACACAAGGTACTGCTTCGGATTCTCTTTGTTCCCGTTGCATTATGCGCGCATATGAATTGTAAATAATAACAGACTCCTCATCCTGATCCTTCCTTCGTTCCGCCATGGTTTGCCGCAACGCTTATTGTGCGAGTGTACACGAATCAGACCAACATTTTGGAACACATTTGGCGTTCGAATATTTTTTTTTTTTTTTTTTTTTTAGCCTTTTTGTACTTCGTTTAATTAGTAGGATCCTCTAATTGATATAAAATGGGAGTTGTTCGGATTTGAAGAAGTCGATGGTGAAGAACGACAGGTAGAAGAGCTCTTAACTAATCTTTCAGGTCTCTTCATATAGACGTTTATCTTTACGCTCTGCTACCCCAATGATCGATCACGCTCGAACCGGCAATAACCGATATCTAACGCCCTCCATTCAAAGCGCGGATCAATGCCACAGAACTGATGAAAAGCAATCTCGTTGCAATACTCGATCTCGATGCATCGAAATACATGGAAAAAAATACTGGGTAAAAAGGAATGATCGATCCCTTAATTCGTTTCCTCCAAACGTTTTCCTCGATGTTAATGAAACTCGTTATAATATAATCTTAACTTGCAACGATATCCTACGATATACTACGATATTACTGTGTTTAGTTTCAAACAGTTGTCGGGTAACATTGTTCCATAGCTTAAAGGATCGGATATGTTTGACTCCATTATTAAACGGTTCGTAACTACGTTCTAAAGCCCAGAATTGCTGGAGGCCAACAATTTAGGTAATGATGCTGCTTAGATAGATAAAACTTGTTTCGTGTGATTTAATAGCGTTGCGTAACAATATCGCAAACTCTCGCAAACGTTCAATGTTGCTCGATTTCCCAAACCTCGTTCAACGAGGTTCGATAACCCGGATTGTATATGTGAGAATTGAAGAATCGAGCCATTTCCAAAACATTCGAAACCTTTATGCTTTTTTTTTTTTATTTTATTTCATATTCAAGGATCAATAGATATATGGTATTTTTGGAAATATATTTCCAAAGCTCGGCCAAGATTTTCCACGGGTTTTTCCGGAGCCACGAATAAACGCACGTTTTCTGGAAACGTACGACCCCCGTGTCAACTGGAAGTTTCTCGTGCCACACTGTTTCCCACACGTGTCACGGGGTTGCCGACTCGCGTGAAATTTCTTTGAAACGTGCTTAGCCTTGCGCTAATTGTCCCTGCTCGTTCTAACGGCGAAACCTAATCTCTCGAGAAGTGGCTTCTCGTTCCTTCGACAAAAACCACCACATGGATTCGAAATTAAAGAGGATTTTGCGTCCACGGTTACTTGGTTATTTGATCTTTGGCAAAAACCGTGAAGTTTTAATGGGGTTTTAAAAATCAAGATACGACGTTTTCTTCGAATCGAAAAGAACGATAATAATTTTCTTCGCGCGATAATAATAATCCAATATTTTCATTCGAACAAATGTTTGCACACTTTTAATATTTTACGATGCAGATGAAACTTTTTCCACGATAGAAAAACCGCGCAACAGCGCAGGAGAGAGAGACTTCTCAGAGAATACGTGCAAAGAATACAATTTGTCCAGAAAATTTGTAATAGCGAGACGTGCATGTAAAGTAGCTCGTAGGATATGACGTATGCAATGTGTATACACTCGCGTGTTTGAATCTTCGTTTCTACGACGGACAAGTTTAAATTTGATCCGTAACTTTAACTTTCTCGTTAGGGAATCTCTCGAGTGCTCTCCTCGACGTCGCGATAGAGGCGCGATAGAATTATACTCAAATAAAATCTTTAAAAGACGTACACATGTAGATTTTTTAATATTTAAACCGTAAATCGCAAGTAGTATTAACTACAGACGCCTGACCAAAACACGAGCTCTACTACTAACGACTCGTTTGAGAACCATCAAATTGGTAGGAAAACAACGCAATGGCGCGCACAAAGTGGCAATTTAGACAAACTTTATGCAACTTGGACACGTGCTGAATGCCGGTAATTGAATCTAATTCTTATTCCTCGAACGTGTATTCCGTAAAACTGGTACGAACTCGAGTACGCTCATTCCTATTTTCTTCCTCGCCTTCATTATCTATTCCCGTTAGTTTCCTATTAAAAGTTACATTCGCACTGTTTTTTTTTTTTTTTCTGTTTCATGATTCTGTTCTCTCTTTTTACCAGTATTTCCTTCGTTTCGTTATTCGATTAAATCGAACAGCGATATAATTAAATTTGTCTAAAAATTATCCACCTAACGACCTGTAATTCCCATTTCCCCTAGATTCTTCTTTTGCATATTTATCTACATTCTTGAAAAAAAAAAATACATCAGCTTCAACATACTTTTTCACCATAATTTTATTCTTAATCCTATCGTGGTATCCGCTTCACCAGGAATGTCTCTCTCTCTCTCTCTCTCTCTCTCTCTCTCTCTCTCTCTCTCTCTCTCAATCCCACGCGTTCACGCGTCTAAAATTTCCTCGACGAACGTCGTCGTTCCACTTCCTGTCTAGAATCGGCCGATTCATCAACGGTAGAGCCATTAGCTAATTTATTAATTTCTTACCTTGTTCCGGCTGGCCGAGAGGTCGTGATCCCTGAAGCCCGAGCGAAAAACCATAAGACACCCACGGGACAATTAAAATGCTAATTCTCATTGATGGTTTAATCGGCGTGTTGTTTCGGGAATCCGATTGTTCCACGCGCGCTTCGTCCGGAATCGTTCGTCGTAGCCGATTCGAATGTTCGAAAATCGTGTTCGAGAGAGTCACGTACCCTTCTCTCGTAACATACCCTTCTCTCGTAACGTACCCTTCTCTCGTAACGTACCCTTCTCTCGTAACTCTTCTCTCGGCGACGGCCTTTGACGATTCTTTTCGAGATCCTTGTTTCACCAGTCTCCCGTGTTTGCGCTCGAAATTTCATCGTTGGCCTCGATATCGATATCGAGACGATCGAAACATTTGCTAAATTTGAACAAATTAATTAATTCTCCCCCATTTGATCCAGAGTGTCTAATATCTTTCACAACTTGTGAACATCCGTCTATGTATCGGGTGGCTTTTAAGTACGTCTTGAGTATCTTATTTTTCAATTGTTATCAAATCTATTTTCTAACAAACAATAAGGAGCATCGGAGATTCTTATTATAAGGAAATTATACAGCTTCGCTGTATAATGTTACGTTTGTCATCTGTCTACGTTGTAGTTTTTCGTACTCCTTTGTGCCGAATATCTGTCCTTTGACCCTTCTACCGGGCAAAATCGTCGTCGGAACGGATTGTAACACTGGATCGAGTAACGGAAGAACATCCGAGGAAGATGATCGTGGATGAAACGGAAGGAAGAGGGTGGATGGATCCGAGATGGGAACGACAAGGGATGATCAGAGGAATGAAAGCATCCTCTGCTCGGATGCTTTTTCGATTTTTCAGTCGACGGGCTCTATCCTTGCGCTACGTTTTCTAATTTATCCTCCAAAAGAAGAAGAAGAAGAAGAAGAAGAAGAAGAAGAAGAAGAAGAAACGTATCGAGTCAAGATTTCCGCGGAATTTCCGGGAATTAACTCCGCTTTAAGGAAAGAGAGAGGCGCGGTGCATTAATTTCCTTCGAGATGGAAAATTAGTCTCGATATTAGAAGTTGCCAAGAATCAGGACAAAGTAATCGTGGCTCGTTGAACGGCTCGTAAAACTTCTTCTTCGGGCTTGTAAGAACTTTGTTTAAGCAACGAGAGGGAGGGGGTTGAAATAGAAAGAATATAGATAGGGTAGGAGCGTTGAGAAAGAAAATTAAACAAGAAAATGGATGGAAGGAGCGAGAAAAGGAGAGGGAGGGAGGATAGATAGAGTTTTGTTCGATGCAGTTCGCGTAGGGGTCTGAGGTTAATTGCAAAATTAACCTTAATTATTAGCCCTCCTGAACATTTCCATTCTCCTCTCGCCTAGTTCTAGCTACGATGGTAATGTAGCACGTTAGTTACCGGCGCTTGGTTGCCGAAAGATTTAATCTTTTTTAGTGGAGGCCGCGTTTACGAAGAACGGGTTTCCGAAAAAAAAAACGGGTTCCTCGCCTCTTGTCTCTGATTTTACGCCAATGCTAACCTCTTTCCAGGGATCTCGACCTTTTCAAAAAATCATAACCTTCCACTACTCGCGTTCCCTGCTCGACAATTAAATATTTAAACTTACGAGAAGAAGGTACAAGGTTGGTGGAAAAAATAAAGTCATTCACGGAACCGTCGAAGTGATTTTTTTTTTATTGTTCCATATTTATACACATAATAAGCGATACCGTATTATATCGTATTAGGTACTAGATCGTATTGTATGTATATATATATATATATATATTTATATATATTCATTCATTTATTTATATATCGAGCATTCTGTACAATAAATAAAGACTCTAGAGCATTTAAAACGTAACACGGCGTACTCCCTTGCGATTGGCATCGAAAAGTGTACAATAATTTAACGAGTACCCCTATATGCGTATATCCCATCGCCAAACGCGTCATCGCAGATGACGATACTTGTGGCGATTCGAGGATATGTATATACATATCGCATAGGGTTCCATTTTGAACTTGTCAAACAAATCGTAACAATCCCTCCCCGTTTTCGACTCGGTAGAGACGGCTACCTTTTCACGGGAGGCTTCTTTGCTTCTTTTTTTTTTTTTCTTCTTCTTTTTCTTTTTTTTTTTTTTTTTTTTTTTTTAACGCATTAAACAACGCTCGTTCAAACGCATTCGTTTATGCTCTCACAAATATTCGAATGAAACATGTGACGCGCATGTGAGAACATCACGCTGCCTGTGTAAGATGTGTGTGATATAAATCGATAGTCTTGCTACAGTTCGTCTTATTCATTTTTATCCTAGGTCGGATAAAATATTAGAAAATCGTTCGAGAGAGAATGGCGTGGATGATATCGGACACAAATAGCATAATGTATAATATTCGTATTGAAATCGGGTATAGCGCGTAGAAAAAGTCAAGCATAAAATTTTTTTTTTTTTTTTGTACGTTCGGATGTTGCTCGTATAAAAAGGCATACGAAGACACAAAACTGGCAGAATTCAAAGATCCTTATTATAAAAAAGATCGCCTCAACGAATCTCGATTAAGTATAAAAAGATATGTACGCGTGTGTATATGTATGTGTGTGTGTGTGTGTATGTGTGTATGCGCGTATGCGTGAACGTTCGAGCGTTACGAATGAAAAAGCGAGTGCGATCGAGTCAAAAAGGACGCGAATGTAATTCGATTACTCGATCTTTTTAATCCTGCTTAGATTCAATCTTCGAAAAATCGTCGATCAACCGCGATACGAATAATAATAAATCTATAACGATAAGATTCAACTATTTATACAATCGTACACCGCTGCTTCGTCGTTGGAATGGAATGGAAAATCATCGTAAATCATTTCGATGATCGAATATTTCGCGCTAATTGCGATTTTATTTAATTTTAGAATGATAATCCTTTTTTTTTTTTTCTTTTTTTTCTTTTTATTTATTATCCTAAAACGGAGATAGAGAAGAAAGACGCGCGGAGAAACACTCGTAACACGATTTATTTAAACTCGATCCCGATGATATTTTAATTTATTCGCTTCATCCTCTTGTATATTCCGTTTATAATATATTTGTCGGGCGAAAAATCGTGTTTTCGATCGCGTCACGAGATCTGCCGTTTCGTTTCGTTAAACTTTCACGGTACGGAATGGAAGGAACGTTGCACGGAAATCGAGCCAGCTTCTTCGGTTTTTTCTTCTTTTTCTCTCTTTCTCTCTCTCTCTCTCTCCCTTCTGTGCACCGCTCCCTTCTCTTCGCTCGGGAACAGATGAATCTTAGAATCGGCTACTCGAGATCGATCTTCGTCGACGCGATCGATATTTGATATATTACTATTGTCTTTTTAAATCCACGAACCGAGATACATACAACATGCATTTCTATCTAACGTCGCTAATCTTCACGGGAACGCTCCCCTTCTTATTTTTGAAAAGGAGGATTATCTTCGCTGGAACGGCGAGTTCTTCGCGGAACTCGTTTCGTTTAACTCTTTCAAATTACGTGGCATCGCATTATTCAGTAAATCTTTGTCCTCTGCATTTTTCCACTTCTCTTCTTCAACAACAACGACTTTTTGTCTGATATGTCTTTTTTTTCTTTTTTTCAAGAAGAAATAAACTCTAGAGAACAATTCTATAAACGACGCGAATGAAAATAGGATGAACGAAAAAAAACATCCCGTCCAACGATAATTAAAATTGGATACGTCTCGTAAAAGAAACAACTTTGTTCTCTAATTTTTTCATATATATTCTATATAACGAATGCGATCCTGGACTGAAAGAGTTACAACAATATCGATCGATTTGAACACTCGGGTCCCTCCTCGAATTATGGAATAATAATCGCACGTAAATGTACATATATATCATCGTAGATACGTGGTTGGGGAAAATTCGAGCCCGTTGTTGTTTCAGTCGAGAGGACTCGAGGGGTCGGCAGCTCCATCGGAGGAACAAAGGCCCGCGATAATAAGCACAGGAAGAAGCTGCGAGGACGACGCGAAACGATGCACCATCTAACGGGGATCGTTCCCTTGGTGGCTGGCGTCGTGCCGAGAATAACGAGAATCGCCCGCGACACGGCAACCAGTGCAATCCTTCTCCCGTCCCGGTTTCACATTCGAGGTCGAATCACACGAGGCCGACGATAAATTCGAGTTTTTTCGTTTCGTCGAGATGGCTGGATTCTCGTTACGATATTGCGCCGCAGACGGAGGGGAGGAAGAGGTTTATTGCAATGGACGCGAAATCGTTAGCTGCGTTGGCAATTAAGGAGGAGCTTTTCTCTTTCTTTCTCTCTCTCTCTTCTTTCGTTGAATTCGATCCTCCCCGATCGAGCAACAAAAATCGCCACCCTTAATCCCCTCCTTTGATCAAATGGGACGAGAAAGAAGTAAGCAAGTAGAGATTTTATTCGAGAGATCTCTAGAATCACGGCGGATACGATATAACGATCGACGTAACACAGCTAACGATTCACGGTTCCGTTTTTCGTTCATCCCTTGTTCGACGATTTATTACCACCACTACCAGGAACCGAAGAAAACGGAGGATAACACCCCTATCAGAGCCAACCACCCGATCAGATCGAAGGATCCTCTTCTCCAGGCAGCGTTGTTCATGCACGTCTCCCGGATATTGATGATCTTGAGGCCACGGCGATTGAGCAGATTGTGCACGCCTCGTTTGTCGCTCTTTTGCAAGATGTGCTCCCGCGAGAGTAGCAACGAGTACAGCTGATTGTCCGGGTTCCGGGAACAGAAAGTCAGCACCATGTCCGAGGCAACGGCCTTCATCACGTGCACGTTCCCGCTGAATTGCTTGTACCCCCTCTCCACCAGTGTACCTGAATTAGGAAGGAAATCGATTCATTTTTCAATTCGAAACGAGGTATGGGATAGTAATAATAATAGTAATAATATTTATCGCGTTTATTTTAAACGCGAATGCGAAACGAAACATGTTTGAAATCGGGGGAGGAATGGATTGAAGGGGGAATCAGAAACGGAAATCAGCGAATCGGTCTGATTATTGTATAGGACGGCTGGGAATGCCAGGCGTGCTCCCGATGGAAATCTGTCACATTTACCACGCCATTATGTCGTTGACGATGCACTTACGCCGCTGATTAGGAATACCCAGAGACGGAATTACAGGGATTGTCATGTAGGGATTTACAACGGCGCTGTTCGCCGCTCTGTTCGCCGATTCATCGATTTTTCATCGAGCGCCTCTCGTATTCGAGGCTCGAGCTCGTGTCAATTTTAGAGAAGCTGTTACTTTTCTCTCTCAAAGGTTGAAAAAAAAAAAAAAAAGAAAGAAAGAAGGAAGGAAAAAAACGGTTGTTTCAGCCGTTTGAAAAATATTATCACCACACGAGGCGAGGATATTACTTTGAAAATTAGACGGAATATTTCGAAGAGGGAACGGAATTTTCGATTTTTCGAAAATTTCGAAAACGCGATAAAACAACACGGGGGTGTTGTTATCTTGGGAAAATGATTGTCACGCGTCTGTTACGTGCCAATCGCAATAACGTCAACACCCTCCCTAGCACTATCGTATTATTACAGCGTCGTCCATTAAGCCATTTCATCGTGTAAACGGTCACCAGCCCCGGGATATTGACGTTTAATCGCATAAAATTAATTATACGGCAACTGTTCGATTGCGTGAAATTCCGATGGGACAAGAAGGCGAGGAATTTTCAACACGAATGGAACGAGTCGTTTTCCACGTAATCGTTTCTCGTTTAATTTTTCTCGACGACGCTTGTTGTCGCTACGTTGTCGCGACAACGTACGTGAAAGCGTCGTACGACTTTTGCAAGAACAGGGAACGAGTTTAAGACTCCGGATTCTCGCTCACTCCTTTGATTTATTTTTCATTTTCCAAGTCGAGCCCTTTTTATCCAGATTGTGTACGGGGGAGAGAATTTGCTATTGACAACTGGAAGAAAGCAAACGTCGAAAGCGAACAAAGAGCCGGCCGCGAAATTTCATCGTTAAAAAACTGACGTGATCGCATTGTTTCGGCAAGCCTGTCGAATTTGTGGAATTTTTAACAAAGCTTGATATCCTCAAAGAGATATCTCCGTGGAAATCGGATAACGCTTTGTTCCACCACCTTTTTTTGAAAAAGTGGAACAAACGCGAAAAAACGGGGAAAGGAGAAGAGAAGAAACACGGGGAAATAAATGAGATAAATTCGAGGTAATAAACGAAAATTCGCGAGAACGATACGATATTCGCGTTTAAGGGATAAATTTGTGATAAAGAGAGAAAAGAAGGGGGAGAGAGAGAGAGAGAGAGAAAAGGGTGGGTTCCTCGATTCACGGACGTATTGTGCCGACGTTCCCTCGTCGACTACCCGCTGTCCGTGGATACGGGACAGAAGAATGGAACCGCGAGATGAAAAAAAAAAAAAAAGGGAGCCTGGCAAGAGGCTTTTGAAAAATTATTTTCCGCGTCGACGGTTTCTCGCGGATTTCCTACCCCTATCCCCAGACATAATTGGATGGGCTGACTTCCATCCTCCACGAGCGAGCAGACCACGTTCGGCCCCATTCTTGCTGACAGTTAACCGATAATCACGCCCGCTACCTTGGAATTCATTAAGATCGTTATCGGATGCACCTTACGACTTTAATTACCGCCACCGGTTCCTACTTTGTTCCCGAGACCCAAGAGCTCCTCGGTAATTAGCCGCTTAGAAGGCGATCGTTCACCGGAAACTGTCCTCCCCTATGATCACCGTTTAACCAACTGTCCCACATATCTCGCGCTTCACAGGCCATACGCTTCTTCTCGCCCTTCGATTCTCCTCCTCCCGTTTACGTCTTCGATCCATCGTTCGATCCGACGTCGAAAGAGATCGTCGAACATCTTTCGAGAGGATTTTGAAATTAAAAAAAGAAAAATTCGAGACTCGAATTCAGTCAAAGTCGAAAGTGATCGGTGATTCCTTTGGAACTGGTGGATTCCTTTGGATCTGAGCCTCGAAATTTTCATTCTCCCGTTTACGTCTTCGATCGATCGTTCGATCCAACGTCGAAAGAGATCGTCGAACATCTTTCGAGAGGATTTTGAAATTAAAAAAAAGGAAAAATTCGAGACTCGAATTCAGTCAAAAGTCGAAAGTGATCGGTAATTCCTTTGGATCTGAGCTTCAAAATTTTCATTCACCCGTTATATCTTCGATCCGACATCGAAAGAGATCGTCGAACATTTTTGGAGAGGATTTTGAAATTAAAAAAAAGGAAAAATTCGAGACTCGAATTCAGTCGAAAGTCGAAAGTGATCGGTGATTCCTTTGGAACTGGTGAAGCTTCAATCGGACCTCGAAATTCTCGTATCAATTTCATTCAGTGGAAGTCCAGTTTGCAGAATGTTTACTTAGTGGGAACGAAAGTTCGATCTCGATCTCGAGCTGGGATATATTCCGTTCCGCGCCCATTTGTCCCTATCGTATTTATACGGCTCATCGATCGTCGGGAGTCGAAACTGCTTTGAAACTGGGAGCCGACAATTGGTAAACACGATTCTTATAGATACACTCCTCTGTCTAGAAGTTCGATTCTATAGTTTCGAAACGTTTAGATACTCGAGATACGATGGAACTTTATTTATATATATATATATAGAAAATCTCTGTGTTATACGAGTGATATCGATCGTCTTATTTATTGCGAGATGAACGATCTTTTTTTCTTTCTTTTCTTTCAAAAAAGAAAGAATCCTATAATTTTATTTTTAATTTTTCTTCGGTCAGAGATCGTTTCTTCCGTTTCTGTTCCATGAATTATTCGAATCGCCAGCTTACGATAATCGTCTTTGAAAGAAACTCGGACCGAGTGGCTCCGAGTTATCGAGCTGTTCGTTATTATCTATCGAGGAGGAAACTTCACTCGAGCAAGAACTACCGTCTTTTTTTTTTTTTTTTTTTTTTTATTTTTCCCCCCTTTACGCCACCGCCTGGGACGTTTCACGGGGGAATTATTCTTCCGTTTTATGCGCCACCAATGGTATCCTCGCGGATCGAGAGAAAATCGTTCGGTAAATTTATCGCGGATAGTAGAATCTTTGCTGGGGAATCACGCTTATCCATTCGATTCGCACCATTTTTTTATTCTTTCTCTTTTTCGTAGATAAAACAAAGGGGGGAAAAATGACTTTTTAAATATTAAAACTTGGAAACCGGTTATTATATTAATATTAACTCGAAACGAAAAGAACAAGAAGGGAGATTTTATTTATTCTCGAATTTATATTTATTCATTTTTTCTTTTTTCTTCAATTGGGAAAAGCTCGGGAATCGTTCCATAAATTCATCGAATTTCACGCAAGCTCCGCTCTCTCCGTTCGAAATGTTGAACGTATCCGTCCGGCTCAAAAAAAAAAAAAAAAGAAAAAAAACGCTGGAAACACGAAGATTTACCATTTTGCACAGACGTGGAAATCCAAAAGCCCGGCTTCCTGGATACGTCCGGTATCCGGAAAGTGTACTCGAGGTCGCCGATCTCCTCGGTCCACAACAGCCTCAACGAGGAGAAGTACTTGGACGTGTTCTCGACCGCTCTCAGCTTGACGATCGGGCAGGAATTGACCTTGTACGAGCCGATGGTCTTCGATGGATCGACTTTGTGCTCCAACACCTCGACCACGTACCACTTGCCCATTATCTGAAATCAATACGGACACAAATGGATTTATTACGTTCGCGTGCTAAACGCAAATGCTCTCTGACGCGTTTCGATCCGGCGAAACGTGGCCGGAACCAAACTCGGCCGCTAGATTTAGGAAACGAGCAACACCGGGGGCTTGGAATGTTGCTGCCCGCACGCATTTACCATCGATGGTATTTACAGAGATTACCAAGTTGTTTCAATCCCATTGTTGCGTAACAGATCGAACGAATCAATTTTTGCCGTTTCCTTTTCCTTTTTTTTTATTTTTATTTCATCTTTTTTTTCTAATTCGGTTTAAGAATTATTTTTAAAACGGTAGTAAAAGAAAAAGAGAAAAGAGATAATATTTTTGGAATTTACAAGTTTTCTAATTTTAATCGGACGTTGAATTTTTGAGATATCGCGATCTTCCTTTCATTTTTTTTTTTTCTAATTCGGCTTAAGAATTATTTTTAAAATAGTAGCAAAAAAAAAAAAGAGAGAGAGAAAAGAGACAATATTTTTGAAATTTACAAGTTTTCTAATTTTAATCGGAATTTTTAAGATATCGCGATCTTCCTTTCATTTTTTTTTTTTTTTCTAATTCGGTTTAAGAATTATTTCCTAAAACAGTAGGGTAATTAAGAAAAAAAAGAAAAGAGACAATATTTTTGGAATTTACAAGTTTTCTAATTTTAATCGGACGTTGAATTTTTGAGATATCGCGATCTTCCTGTTCAATTTTAGATATCGACTATCACGGTACACAGTTTTCGACTAAAAAATTGGGAACGTGCAGGCTCGTTCGTGGATTTTTAAATCCGGTGTCTATTCGGATCAGAGTTTATTAAAAGTTATTCGCCTACATAAATATATTAATTAATTCTGTTTCCTTTTAAAATCAATCCGCGTATTAACGATCGAACATACGATTAAACAAACGTATGGATATAATGCGATTAAATACGGCATTAAAAATTTTAATTTAATCGGAAGAGAAAACACGCAAAGACGGGAAATCATGACGGTGCAATCAATTGAAATTAAAACGGCCGATTTATCGAGAGTTTCGTTTCTAAATTTAACAACACGTTAAAATCGAAAGTCTATAAAAGCAATCAGTTGCTACTAACCGCAAGAGATCGTTCGTAGCTTGAAACGAGAAATTTCGATCGTTTAATAAATCGCCATTTCATTTTCCATTGACTTTCGATAAAATAAAACTATATATTTTTTTCAAAATTTAGAAACAATTTTCCAACTTCTCGAAACTGAACAAATTGGAAAAAGAAATGAAATTGACGATCACGACGATAATTATTAAATTTTAAAACAAAAAATGAAGATAAAAATGAAACGATAAAAATGAAATGCGATTCTCGTGTTGCGAGAAATCGTTCGACGAGATAATCCATAAATTTTGGCCAAGGAACGGATAATTCTGGTGCTTAAATGAAATTAGGGACGATTTATTGGTCGACCGAGTCAACCGTGATTAAACGAGGTGAAATAATATCGATCGGATATAGAATGGAATCGTCTCGAAATCTTGGTACCCAAACGTTTGCTTTGAAGGAATTTCGATGTTATGCTCGTTTCGTAGCGGACCAACTGACGGTATCGATAACGCAATCATGTGGAATCTTTTACCCGATTTAATCTTCTAATAATCGAATTAATTATTTCGACGAGTATATTCGAATCGAAACCTAGCAAAGAAATTTAAAAATCCGTCGATTTATTATACGTTAATTACATCTAATCAATTCAGTATTCGCATTCTTTGGATTGAAGGAGAGATCTAATTGTCAAAAATGTTGTCAAAATGTTTCAAAAATTTGTTAAAAAACGAGAAAATAAAGGAGTCAAGTGTGCGATTCGATCGCGGTCCACGAGCATTTTCAACCTACATCCAGGGAAGCGTGGACAGCTTAACGGGGGCGACTACATGCATAATCAGCGGGCGAAACGGACAAAACCCGGCTCACCGAAGTAATTAAAAGTCTTGCAAACGTTGCCAGCCCCATGGAATCTCATTTGCCGCGATTTCATCCGGCGGATGAGCACGCATTTCGAGCCCGGTGTCATCGAGCCGCCATTTTAACGAATGGAATGACTGGCATTCCGATATCCGTTCACCACCACCACGGCGCACCATCGCACCACTTCATCCGCCGCTTCTTATGAAATTTACCTTCCAATCAAATCGATACCGCCCATTATAATCCCGCCACGATCAATAACAATTTTATTCCCCTTTGCGTATAGCCCAATAAGAATCCTTTTAATTATTCCTGGGGATATGGCCGCGACCAATCGAAGCGACGGCAATAAGATTTCGAGTGGCAATTAACCGCCGGACACGAAAACCCGATACAAACCCCCCGTTTCCTCGAGAAAAAAAGGAAAACTTTTGTTTGACTCAATAGCGATGATTCGTTTCGAGTGGCGATTTTCCAACGCAATTTCGAAGCTAAAACATAATTTCACCCACAGTTCACAGTCGTTGACCAATTTAAATGAAAGGACTGTGCACAGTCAGGATATCTAGCGTGACGTTAAAAGGAAAAAAAAAAACTGCGGCAATAAAACCCGGCGAAATAATTAAAATAACAAATGTCAGGAACACAGGGTGGAGGGGTGGGACGCGAAAATGGCTGGTGGTCGAACGAGGAACGAACGAGGAGGCGATTTATTAAAGGGTACACACAACGTGGGTACTGATACAACGGCCGGCCATTCGTTCCGGCCCGGATCCGGAATTGCGAACGGAAAACGAACTTTAAACCGGGCTTCATGGCCCGGTAATTGCGTTGCGCGCCGGTTTTATGAAGGAGGGTATCCGGCCTCGACGAGCGCACGGGACCTTAGTCCCAGCTCGCGGATATTTCTTCCAACAAACCCGCGCCAAACCACCACCGGTATTCATTTTTCAAAGGTAATTGCAACGGCTATCTCGCCATCTATCTCTCGGCCGTTTGTCAGCCGGGAGGGATATTAGAATATAATTACCGACCATACGTGCATACCCCCTCCCCGTCGAAGAAATCGTACCTTTCGTTCGTATCAGAGTTTCCACGTTCCTCCTTGATTTGATCGCAAATTTGGTGGAGGGGGTGAGGGGAAAGAGGGTTGGAAGCGATTTTGGCCCCCGATAATTTGTTTGCAATGGGCACGATAATGAGGGGAAAGGGAAGGAGGGGGGGTTTCGAAACAAGGGTGAAATATTTCGATATATCCCCCATAGGCAAATTCACTTGTTCATTACTTTAATTGGTTCACGGTCCACCACTGAAAATTACACGGTCTCTGATATAACGCGGGGAACGATTGTACGCTCGAATCGATTAAATCGTTGCTTTCGATGTACACAAAATGGATGGTAATTGATTCGTCACGCTTGCACGTGTCAGATTTGCGCGGGGGGGGGGGGAATCGGGGGAGGGGGAGGTAACGAGGATACGATCATTTATTTATAAATAACACGGAACGAACGTGATTATTTCCGCGTTTGATCAGATTTCGCGAAGAGATTTTTTTTTATCTCTTAATTTTCTTTCATGCTCTATATCTTCGATCCTCACTGGTATACCTTTGTCCCAAATTTCCCATCCTCTTTATACTCTTATAAATATATATATAAATATTTATATATATATTTATAATTTCGTTATAAGTATTCCACCACGAGTCCAACTCGGTGACGTTGATTTACGCTAATTTTCCATCCTGCGCAACGAAAGCAACCCCACCGTTTCCCTGATCCTGTCCCCTGTATTGTGCAATTTTGCAAGCGTTCTCGCGAATTTTACCTCCATAAAAGAACATTGTCCGACCTATGTGACCGTGCGGTAAATGAAGCAATATCGGTGATAAATGGCGGGACGATTTCTAGCCAACGGAGGACGAAACGTGAACCGAATCTGATCGCGTATAAGATATAAATTGGCGGCTCGAGATATCGGAGTTGCGATATCAACGCGTCACGTGATAACCTTCTAAATTATTCGAACCCTCCAAATATGATTCTCCCCCGGGGAGAGAAGCATCGGATTATTAATTTCTGAAAATTGTTCTGAAATTGTTTTTTAATTTTATTTCATCGAAATAATATGGGAACGAGCGTTTAAAACGAGCCTTCGGCTTTAAAATAAACCGAATAATACTTTAATATGAGGTAGAATGGTCTTTTTCTCTCGTCTTATGAATACATTAGAGAAAATTATGTCTATTTCATAGTCCCCGGTGTTTTTCACGTGCATGCTTTTTTCCCTTCCTCCCCTCCCCTGCTCTCCCGGAAAGGGAAAAACGAGGCTCTATACTGGCACCATCAGAGGATACGTAGCTTCTTGCGATGCAACAGAATTCAACGCAAGTGGAAATTTATAGTTCATGCAAGCCACCGCGCTCGGAATAATATTTTGCCTGTTTCCGGCGGTTTCCCATCCCCTTTATCTCTCTCCTCCCTCGTCTCTCCCCCCTCGAGGTCGTGGGTAAAAGGGCGCGCCAAGTTTAATTTCTGTTCGCGGAGTAATTATTTTCGAGGGAACTCCTCGTGTATCGCGCAACTTTTTGAAGCTATCCGGTAATAAGCATGGAAACGATATTAAATCAGGCCTCGTTGCACTATGTGTCCTACCTTAGCCGAATAACACCGAAATATCCTCCAGTAAGTAAACTCTTTGAGATCTACTTAGTCGTCAACTTCGGATTCGTGTCATTTTCGAAGAGAAATTATACGTTTGTCCTCATTTTTTTCAGAGAAAGAGGAAGGGTATCGCGATTAATAATCGCGATAATGAGGAAAAAAGCGAGAAGAAGAAACGTAGTTTGCCGCGTATCGTAGCAAAATGCCAAGCCACCAAGCGTTGATTCAGTACTTTAACTTTATTTCCACGACACGTGCGAGCGCACGCAGCGGCGGTGCAGTTTTCCGACACGTTGCGTCGCGCGTTGCGGAAAGAACCGGAAGAAATTTAATAATGTCACCCCATTTTGCACGTGCGGGCCACCGG